AGATTGACGTCAATTGACGTCATCGTATAGCTAATTTTGAAGGTGGGGTGTTAATGGGAATGGCATTTTTATACAGTTAGTTTCAGAAATTTGCCGCAGCGGTTGGGGAGTGGGGGCGTTACAAGAGGTAAATGGGATTAACGGTATTGTATACATAGTTTCAGGATGGGATGGGAGTGTCGGGACCCTGCGTAAAACCCTTGTGGAGCAAGAAGAAGGTGACAAATTGCTGTTCAAAACCCAAAAAGTCTTCGTTTTTCCTCAGATGAATGTGTAAAACAACACCAATAGTTTATGCTTGAATTATTGTTTGATCATAAATGTTTTGCACAGTTTTGGTTAATCAGTAAATAGATGGGCAGCATGGCTTTGCAGGTCAGGGCCAACATGGCCTGAATGAAATACCGTGTCCCCGAAGAAAGACGGAGGTGCTCGATGAAACTGATTCCCCCACACAGGACAGGAGTCGAGCACAGTCTTTGTGTGCAACAACGTAGAGCCTGGCCATCACACCAGTACAGATAGCATACGTGGACAATGTTTAGATCTATGTGTTCGTTTGTGATTTTAAAGAAAAATTTTAAGTCTATTCCCGCCTTAAAAGGGGGGGGGGGAGGCTATACCTGAAGGCTATCTGGCTTATTACTGTACCAAGTTTTACCAAATTTCACACTCATAACAAGTATAGTAAGGAGTCTTAAAATCCACTATCGAATTTGAGAAAAAAGTTTCGTTTCCATGGATACGGCCATATTGGATTTTGTTGACATGTCTTACGTAATGAATACCGCACTTGTTGCTAATGGAAATTGATTGTTTTTTTGCTTTCAACTTCAACTCACCCTGAAGCTTTAGTATGGCTTGACGAAATAGCATAGAGATGCTCGTTTTGTTTGAGATTGGCATGCGCCCTTTAGACGCTGAATACCAACGTATATAGTGCAATTGATGGATTGTAAATCTACCACGCCAAAGACGTGTTCTTGATTCCCATCAGGGGAAGTTGTTTTTATGGATATCTCCGTAATCTCCGTCGATCTACAGCAACGAATCCCCACAGACTTAGAATTACTGGCGCCTGTGTTTGAGCGGTTATGCACAGCTATGGCAGGCATAAGATCTGAAGTCGATTCCCGTGTGGGGAAAATTTTTATCGAATTTCTTTGTCCCTCTGCGGGACGTTGTATCCTTCTCAGCCCGAGTTGACCCTGGCAGGGTCGAAGCTTGCTTCCTAAATTATTAAAATTCTGTCGATATGGGTTTAAAACACATTAGAAATGACCTCGGGTTGACCCTGACATGCAAGGTGGAAGCAACCCTCGTCCTAATTATTGTAAATGGATAAATTGTGCCGACGGAGACGTAAAACATTTACAATTTTGGACCACCGAATGAACCATTGTGAAGATAGAAAATGATATCCTTTGCCAAGATAGCACGTAGGGATTAATCTTCCGGAAAGAATGATTTTCCCTCCGGGATGATAGGGCCTCGATTGTTTTGCGCGTCCGCCAAGTTCGTTAGCAATCATGCCCCAGCAACTGTCATTCTTTCACAGAATTGAATTATTTGGCTGTTATCATAGATTTCATTTCCATTATGCCATTATGCAAATTATAACGAATTCCGCGTTCCATTTGATCTGCTGCCAGAAATATTGATTGCTTTCGTAATAAATGAGGACAAAACAGGATAATAATATTATTAATCTCCAGCCAAGTTGCAGTTTCTCATTACAACATACTGGAGAACATCAGTACGATTGCCAGTTTCCAGTGCTAGGTCACATTGTCTCTGTGCTTTGCCTTTTCTTTTGCACGCCCCTGGATTTTGGTCTGTTGATTGTTGTGTTGTTGTTGTTGTTGTTTTTGCTTCTGTTTTTATTGTTGTCTTATTGTTCTTGTTGCTGGTGCAGGTTGCTGGAGGGTGCCACTAGCAGGTTCATCTTCTTTTCTCTTGTTGTGTTGCTTCCTTTTTCTGTCTTGCATTCACATACTCTAAATGGCCGTTAGTGTCGATGTCCTTTTTATTACTCAAAAGAGCAAGAAAACGTTTTTGCTGATCGTGATATATAAAACGGTTTAGGTCATTTCCAAGCCATGGCATTTGCAAGTCTCCCAACCCCCAACATCCACTTTTTTATCTTCAGGATTCCTCATGGTCCTGGACATTTTCCAAGAGCGCGGATTGGCCACTGCGGACGGCCGTTGGGGTGACAAGGAGGAGTGCCGCTTTCCCCTCTTCAACTTCCTGAAGCCCTTACCTCTACAGTGGATGTATATCGTCTATCTTGTCATGCTTGCTGGTAAGCCAAATGTGTAAGATGCGTTACATTGCATGCATAAGGTATGCATGAGCCAAATGTGATTATCTCTACTATTTTACAGGGTTTCGAGACGAACTCAAATGATAATAAAAATTGTTGCTTGAGAGTTTTGTAGGAGTTTACATCACTGACCTGCTGGCTGGACATTTCGTCAAGGGCTTAACTCTCTGGGATTATTTTTGCCTTAAATATGCATACTACAACTGTTGCTGATTGCGTGTGTGCTGTGTGTGTGTGTGTTTGTTGAGTGTGTATGTGTGTGTGTTTGTGTGTATGTGTGTGTGTATGCGTCTCCAATAGATCTACCCTGTTATATACGTTCTTGTCAGCTACTGTTCAGAAATACTTACCCAGAGATTCAACCCAGATTGGCCTACAATCGTACCCCTTCCTTCCACAACCTACCTCCTCCCCATCAACGTCTGCTATGGATTGTTATGGAGGTCTGTCGACGGTGACCTAAAAACACATCTCCATCCCTGGAAGTACTGTGCTGTCTTGTCCTGTTAATGACAGTCAATTATTATAATGAGGGGTTAGGGTTCCTCTAGTGTAGTTTTCTCCTTCTATCCCATCCAACATCAATCCTTTTCATCTCACTTTCTTTTCTTTGTATCTCTAATCCTCGACTTTCTCGTATATAACCTATCTGTGTTGCAAGTGCCGTAGAACTCTTACTAAACTACGTTAATTGTTGGAAAGAAAACGTGTTCACCTCTTTTAACACAGCAAAATCTAGCGACTAGCAACGTATCAGCCTTCTCTAATTAGTAGGACAATGTTCTAAAAATTACGTTGACGATCGGTGTTAAAAATTTATCTAATGGCTATTCGAACATGGCTTGCCTTCAGTGCAGAACAAAGTCCTACTGATCGACTTGACGATGGGATATATTAATTTGTGTTGTTCTCTCTCTCTCTCTCTCTCTCTCTCTCTCTCTCTCTCTCTCTCTCTCTCTCTCTCTCTCTCTCTGTGTGTGTGTGTGTGTCTCTCTCTCTCTCTGTGTGTCTCTCTCTCTCTGTCTCGCTCTCTCTCTGTCTCTCTCTCTCTCGCTGTCTCTCTCTGTCTCTCTCTCTCTCTCTGTCTCTCTCTCGCTGTCTCTCTCTGTCTCTCTCTCTCTCTGTCTGTCTCTCTCTCTCTCTGTCTTTCTCTCTCTCTCTCTATCTCTCCCTCTCTCTCTCTTGCTGTCTCTCTCTCTTTCTCTCTCTCTCTCTCACTCGTTCTCGCTCTCTCTCTCTCCGTCTTTGTATATATCATGTAGCCTAATATTTGTAGGTGTGCGAGTGTGCGCGCGCCCCCCCCCCTCTCTCTCTCTCTCTCTCTCTCTCTCTCTCTCTCTCTCTCTCTTATATTTATATATTATATATATGTATATATATATATATATATATATATATATATATATATATATATAACAAGTAGTGAGAGAGAGAGAAGACAGAAAGAAAGAGAGAACGAGACAGGACAGACAGACAGACACAGACAGACAGACTGACAGACAGACAGACAGACAGACAGACAGACTGACGGACAGACAGACAGGCAGACAGACAGAAGGGGGATCCGCAAAGTCAACAATTGAGCAAATGGGAAAAGATTGTTGACACAAAATGCGCGTGCGAGCCAAATGAGAATGTTTTCAGATCAAAGAACTCTTTCTGTTCTCCGGGTTTGGAGTAAAGGAATAATAAGAACGAAAAGATAAAAACAGCTTACTAATGAAAACCTGGGCGAGTTTTGCCTACTTCCTGTGATGACAAAAATGGGTGTGAATATTTCCCGGCAGATTGATGGCCCTTGATGAAGTGTCTCAACCAGCCCTTGTTTACGTTCAACTTTTTTGTTGTTTCATTTTTTGTGATTGCTTTGCCAGCATGTTGATTTTGGGTGATTGTTGTCATTGTTTTCGCTCGTTCCACGGGCGCAGGACAAGACACATCGAGTTTTTTCACCAGATTGAGCGAACATTCGTGCAAGCCGATACTTTGTTATTGTGAATTGTAGATTTTTCATTTTTTGAAGAGGGGAATAAGAGAAGGAAGAGTTGATAATTTTTCCATGACTGTGTGAACGTGTGTAAGTATATGTTGTGTGTATGTGTGTGTGTGTGTGTGTGTGTGTGTGTGTGTGTGTGTGTGTGTGTGTGTGTGTGTGTGTGTGTGTGTGTTTGTGTACGCGTGTGTGCCTTGTTTATGTGCCAGTGTGGAGTGGATGCGTTTTGTTATAATTGTCGATTATTTGTAGTCGAAGGATGGGTTGCTCGTTTTTTGTTTGTTGTTGTTTTTTCAAGCTGTTCGGTCTTTTGCCATAGGCCATTTGGGGGTGAAACTTAAATTCAAAAAGCCCTGCTTCATAAAATGTCATTTAAATGTTGATGGAGGCCTTAAATCCACATTCTTTTGTGAAACATTAGAAGACAAAAACGACGAGAATAAAACAGCACATCCCTCTGTCGCTGCTGGCAGCTTCAGTGATACCACGTAGGCAGTGAGACAGAGATTAGCTTGTATTGTGTCTGAGATGGTAAGGTGCTGAGAAAATCTTTATACCCGACACGAAGTCAATAAACGCTGCCGACGAAAGAGGATGTGTTTGAGTCTCTCTCTCTCTCTCTCTCTCTCTCTCTCTCTCTCTCTCTCTCTCTCTCTCTCTC